GTTTAGGGTTTAGGGCAATGTAGGGCCTTTTTGAGTTAGAATAGGGTTTTGGGGGTATGTTATACTATAATCATGGTAAGGAACCACCAAGATAATATAGGTAATTACTATAAGGCCTCTGCAGTAACAAGATTGTTGGGTTGGGATTGGGGCTCGAGGGTGCAGAGTTTCAAAGGCTCAGGGTTCAGGGGGTTTAGGGTTTAGGGTTTAGGGTTTAGGGTTTAGGGTTTAGGGTTTAGGGTTCAGGATTCTTGGTGTCTCGCTCAAGGTTGAGGCTGGGCCGTGCATCTGCGTTCCTGCTTTCAGCGTGGGGACCCTGAACCCTAAACCCTAAACCCCCCAAAACCCCAAGCTGTTTGGGATCAACCTGCTTAGATGTCATGCAGCTTTGGCTTCTGAAACTCTGTCGGGTGTGCTCCCAATCGCAGCGAGCCAGTCGGGGAATCTTTCGAATGAAGCTTAGGCTGAAGGCGGAGGCTGGTACTTCATTACAATGCATGGCTGTTGCTGCTCTCATTGCAGTTTTTTGAATCCTGCTGTTTCGCCTCGCACAGAGCTGCACTCGGGTCCTCCCCTTGGCTGTGTCCGGCATTCATCATCCTCCTTCGGTGCCTCCGCTTGCGTCGCCGATTCCAGCTTGGGTGGGCATTCTCCTTGGCGGCCTCCAGGCCCTCCCCTTCCAAAAAGAGGCCCCCTATTGGGTTCTTGTCCTGCTGGTCGGGGAGGAACTGACTCTGGAGCCGGATCATCTCCTCGAAGGGGGCCAGCAGAGCCTCCCGAAGCCCAGATGTCCCAGGCTCCAGCGCCTGGAGGGCCTCGGCTGCGGCCTCGAGCGTGGAGAGGCATCCGGGCTCCGGCTGCCTTCGGAAGCGGTAGCGGCTCCGGAGTCTCCGGAGCCGAAGTCGAGGGAGGCCTTGAAGCCACGCGGAGCGGTTCAGCATGATGCGCGCCTGATCCCAACGGGCATCAATGAAGATCAAAGTCACTGGGGAGGTGAAAGCTTCTGTCTGACATCCGGGCACCAACTCAACTGCCTTCGGACCGGGGTAGACCAGGACGGGCTGGCGCCCAGCTTCAACGAGCTTGTCGTGCAGCGCGGAGTCTTCCAGCGGATCTGGGAACTCTTTGCCGACGAATTCAGTGATGTTGCTCAGACATAGCTGCAAAAGAGGGCCCGATCCTAATGCCCTTCGCTTCTCCTTTGGGTGAGTAAACAGCACCACGCGAGTCTTGGTATCCAGTCGCCTCTGCGGCAAAGCAGCGCAGAGGCAAAGCTTCCTGTTACATCGTTCACCTAGACTTTGAAGTAACCAGGGAGAAAAAAGTATAGACTTTTATTTCATAATGGTTCTCTTAAGGAACAGGTCCCCCAAAAAAGTATTCAAGTATGGTACTCCAAAACCCAGTCACATTTGCTTGGCAGAATTCCGTTTGGTCCCGGCTCCGATTCTTGGCACCTCACTGCCATGGCCCTTAGCCTTGCGGCCTGCAAACAATTCCCAGGCCGCCATCGTCTCCAAAGCAGGCTCGAAAATACGGGACAAACCCTGGCCACAAACAACGCAAACGTGGACGCAGGCCTGCCCTTCTGCCAACTTGGCTTGGCAAAGAGCTGTGCAGACGGCTTCTTCGCAGAACGCTGGCCCTCGAAATCCCGAGATGACGAGGCTCTCGAGCCAACGCGGGCATTGCTGAGCATTGCATGGGTCGAAGGTGGATCTGAAGCCCAGGGACATCGGCTGAAAGCCAAAGCAACCAGATCCTGTCTGTGCACAGTGACATGTCTAAGGTAAGCTTAAGGCTTTTAGGACGCGCCGGTTGTGGCGGCGGTGATGGTGTTGTTTGCCCTCGTCGTTGTCGGAACATCCGCAAGCGTAGTAGCAGCGTTTTACTACGAGATCGTGGTGGTGATGATGATGATGATGCCCAGGAGAAGGTAACAACACGGTTCAGGAACACCAGAATCTGTCAGAGAATAGACAGTAGACATCAAGACTATACAAGGATCTAAGTGTTCATAATGCCAACGACGACAGTGTCCAATCAGCCCTGAACCCTAAACCCTAAACCCTAAACCCTGAACCCTAATCGAATGCCATGGCCAGCTTCAGCATCCGAATTCAGCCGTGTCGCCTCGAGGCCACGGCGCGCCCTTCTTGGAACTCCCCCAGTGCCTTGGGAACGGCACCTTAGTAACCGTACTTGGAAGTTAAGGCTTCGGCGTCTGGGTTTCCGAAACACCCGCCAGTCCTCCTAACCCCTACCTTAACCCCAAACAACCTACCGTTTTAAGGACTTATATAAAGAAACTATATTAAGGAACCCTAAAACGTAGGTTCTTTGGGGTTAAGGTAAACCCTACACCTGAGACCTACGTCATCTTCTCAGATGTTGAGGCTGCGGCGTTTGAGGAAGGGTGCGAGTGGACGAGCAGCTTGCATCTCTCCGGATACTTTCACCTCAAGGGCGCCTTTATGGGGTTCTACAGGGGGTTTGAGTTTGGGGCTTCGAGTCTGCCAGGAACCGAATCCGACAGCTCCCTCCTTGCTTGCTTTTACTGTCTTTCTGATCGTGATTCTGATTCTGCTTGTGGTTCTGCACTCTCCTTGCCACTGTGGCTACTACTACTACTACACTACTACTACTACTACTACTACTACTACTACTACTATTACTACTACTACTACTACTACTACTACTACTACTACTACTACTACGACTACTACGGCTACTACGGGCTGCAACGAACATCAATACCATTCATGTCACCTCCACTGCTTCTGCTATTGCGCCCTTGTCAAGCTGCTGTCCTTGATGCGTTATGATGACTGATACTACTGGACTGCCTGCTATGCACTACTACACGACGCCACGACGCAGTCTAGCTACTCTAACACAGGGGCCCCCACCCCCTACAAACCCTAAACTCTAAACACCTCAACTCCAGGTCCCCCCTCTTTGGGACTCTCAGCTCAGACTCCTGCCTTGCGACGGGCCATGGCCTCATCAGCCACAACTCGCAGGATCTCACAGGCGTGTTGATCTGACTGTTGGTCTTAGGGTTGCTGTGGGTTTGATTATAGCAGAGTGGGGTAGTACAGTAGTATAGCATCGTGGAGTACAATAGAGTAGAATATCCGACTGACGATGCTTAGGTGAGAAAAATGACCACCGCAAGAACTACAGTAATAAGTAACCCGTAGGGCTCCAGTTACCTAAATAGTAGTCATAGTATATGCTTAGTAACCTACTATTTAGGTATCTGGAGCCCTTGGGAACAGTGGCGAAAGTTGATAAAAAAGCGGTACGCCCCCGAAAAAAACCAAGACGACAGACTTCTACAGCACGAGGCCCGGTCGACCAAGGGGGACAGCCGCCCTGCCGCAAGATCGAGCAGAACGTCGCAGCTCGCCACCTTTTAAACTTAGAGCTGCGGAGGCCGGGGGTGTTTCGATTCGGCTTTTTGATCTTTGACAAAAGCTTTAGGGTCCTGGGAGTAGGGGTGCCCGAAACCCTAAACCCTAAAGTTCTAGCTAGAGTCATGAGACCCTAAACCCTAAACCCTATAGAGTACTAGTTAGAGTCATGGGACCCTAAACCCTAAACCCTAAATAAAGTTCTAGTTAGAGTCATGGGCTGGGCAGTTTGGAAGCAAAAGCTCTAGAGTCGAAGAAGGCCTCCCTGCACTCGCGGGTCCACTTGTAAAGACCACGATCTGTAGGTTTAGAGTTAAGGGGTTTAGAGTTTAGGGTTTAGGGTTTAGAGTTTAGGGTTCAGAGTTTAGGGTTTAGGGTTTAGAGTTTAGAGTTTGGGGGTTTAGAGTTT